CCTTTTCATAACACTCGCTTTCAGTTTTTCTGAAACTGAAAATCTGCAGGGATAATTTTCCAAACCTCACAGTGGAAGGATGAGCAGAAACACCTAACGGTTCTTTCAGTTGTGAATGCAAGGCAGAGCTTGGTTTTCTTCTCTCTCCAAAATAAAAGCTTTAACTCACGTCAAGTCAAAGTTTATTGATGTAGTGCTTTTTACAGCAGATGTCACAAAGCAGCTTTACAGAAAATTCAGGTCCAAGCCCCAGTAAGCAAGCCAATGGTGAAGGTGGCAAGGAAAAAACAGCAAGAGGAAAACTGGAGTTCCCTGTTAAGTGGGTCATTAAACAATTATTACTGATCTACTTAACCTGCCATTGAAGTTGATAACAAAACTATATACCTGTTTTTTTTTTTCATGAATGCAGCTGCCAACTTGGAGCAGCACCAACTACACTGTGTTCCACGTGAAAGCATGGTATGAGTTTGTTGAAATATCCACTTAAGCGGAATAAATGGTTTATAGATGTAAGCCACATGCTGAAGTCTTTGAAATGGTAATTACGCCTGCCACTGTTAATACCAAAGGAGCTGTCATCGTGTGGTGAGTGCCACTAGAAGGAGCAAACAGGTTTGAATGTCAGAGCAAGAAATGATTTCAAAATATCCTGTTTTTGTGAACAAATAGTTCCTTGGCATTTTCTTAATATACGTGATTACAAACAACTTTTGAAAGACTGGTTGCTTAATTGTCTAATGTTTATTTCACCTTTTTCTCTGTCTTTTCCTTAACCTTCCTGGCTTGCTGTCTTCAGTTGTAATAAGTGGATGTAGCACATTCGACAGTTCATCTTTAAGAGAACATATCTTCAGTTGAAAGGTATCATTTTTACCATTATTTAAATGACTTAAAACTATCATTTCTCCCCTGATGCATGGTTTTATGTGCTAAAAACCTTTAATAGGTTGTTTTTGTTACTGTGCCTTTAAGGCTGATTAATGTAAATGAGATCTGTTCTGACTGGTGGAAAATTCACTTTTCCATAATATGGTGTGTTTCAGATGCAGTTTATCACATATGCATTTGCATAATTACTTAAAACAAACCTTTTTATGTCAAAATAATGATATGCTTCTTCCACAACATGCCAATATCATGTACTTTCACACTAGAAGACTAAATGTGCTACTCTACCGTTTATTTAGGGTGTTTTTATTTTGGGAACAAGTTAGTTTAGACCTGCTTCTCTTTGTTTGCAAGTTAAGAACAGGAATTAAGAACCTCATCTCCACCTTGATGAAGACTGACAGGTGCATTGGCAAATTCTGATAACATCTCAAAGGCCATTTCCTATGTAATTCAATCAGTGTGGATTGTCTTTTAATCTCTTTTCAGACGATATTTAATTAAACTAAAAGGGAAGCCTAAGGGGGAGGTGTCGCTTAAAAACAACTCTCTCTAAAGAAATTATACACTAAAATAAGGAAGTGCATTCACCAATATGTGGCATTGGTTGAACATTTTTAATAAATGATTGTTTGATGGACAGAAGGAAACTACATTGCACTTGCGTATTGCATAAGAAGTATTACATATCATAACTGTATATAACTATATAGCCCAAATTAGCTTGGAACCTCAGTGTTGATTAACGCATTAATCCCCATAACTGACATTTTAGTCGATGCTGTTGGAACAAAACCTTGTATCTCCAAAATGCCAAACTAACAGGAGAAGGAAAAACCTTCGTACCTTTAAATGTCAAAGTGACAAGTATTCAGGACCATTTATATTGGTCAGCTCATAATGAAATGTTCACACAGTGTAAAGAGCAGTTGTCTTTTTATAATTATAGTTAAAACACAACAAAAAATTGCTAAAAGTTGAGATACATGTTTTCTCCAACACTGATATGTTACCTGACTACAAACGTTTCAAACTGATCAAATAATGTCAAAGAAATTGTATATAATTATTGTACTACTTTAACTTTTTCAACCTTTTTTTAAAAACAAAATTATAGAAAATCCAAATTTGATTGTGAATGAAAGTATGAATATTAAATGTATAAAAGGAATTCAAACAGGTACTATTAGAGACTCATCCAAAGTAAAACTACACAACATTTCATTACTTTAGACCAATCAGAAGAGGCTCCTGATCATATTAAATGTAACTGTTGGATAGGAATGTGCTAACAGACTAAGCTCTATTTGTTGCTCTATGCTTTGAAAACAGAATAAAGAGTTCTAAATGTAGAACTGTTTTTCTGAACAGTGCATTTTAGAGCGAGTGGTTTATTGTGTCTCTGTGTTGGTTAACAAAAATGTTACAAACTGTTTTCAGATGGCAATAACATAGCGTCTTTCAATGTTCGATCTAATCTACTGAATTAAACAGTGAAAATGAGTAAACAGCATAACCAAGACTCTTACACATAGATTTTACTGAGGTCTACTTGTGATGTGTGTGTGTATATATATATATATGAGTATGTGTGTTTGTGTCTTTAAAATGACAGCATATTACAACATTGTAATTAACCTCTTAGAATTGAACCTTTCATTTCACTTAATCACTACTCACAGATGGTCTGGCTTGTGCAGTACACCATGTCTGGTCTGAGGTTTAACAAATGAAAAGTAAATACACAGTGCTGTAATAAAGCCAGCCTACTGTAACTGTAGCACAAATATGTCTTAGTGTAATAGCAGATGTAGGTCAAACCACCATTTCATATTAGTCACAGAAGCAGTGTGATGGTTTATTGCAGTGAGTCCTAAATATTACAGCAAACTCAGACCAACTAACAATAACAACTGCAAGGGAATAGTCCATGAACAAACTTCAACGTTGGCTTGACAACGTTGTTGCTATGGAATCCAAAGTGATTTCTAAGATGTTGGCAGGCCATTACTATGGTATCCTAGGAGGCTGCTAAGGTGTCGATCAGCTGTTGCTATGGTATCCAGGGTGTTCTTAAGGTGTTGCTAAGCCAGTATCACGGATTCCTAGATTGCCAAGGTGTTGCTAAAGCAGTGCTATGGTATCCTAGGTGGTTGCTAAGGTGTTGCTTGGCAATTGCTATGTTATCCCAGGTGGTTGCTAAGGTGCTGCTAGGCCATTGCTATGGTATCCCAGGTGGTTGCTAAGGCGATGCTTCGCCATTGCTATGGTATCCCAGGTGGGTGTGTATATATGTGTATATAAATGTGTGCTGGTATGTATGAGTCTGTATGTAATGTCTGTGAGGGGCAATGTGAGAGATGTCCGTGACATCTTTAGTGGCAGTTGTGGCCATTCATTTCCTATGAGAAAAAAAAACTGTTTGAAAAAAAAAGTTTGAATAAATTCTGTACAGAAAAACATACAAGCGATCAAGCAAACTATTCCTGTATGTTCCTGAATTCCTCTACGATCATGCAAAGTTTTGTTATTGTTGACTGAAAACTGTGACGTGTGAAACTTTTTGCTGTTCTAACTTGTTGTAAAGTACACAAAGTACATCTAAATAGCAGTACACATCAATAAATAGTATGTATTGGTGTATGTAACCTTATAGCTGACAAATGCATGATAGCATGTACATTACATTTTGATATATGTTATAGACTTGCTATTGAACCCACTGACATTTGTTTGCATCTGTAAACCTCAATTGCTTTAGGCACATTTTTTTATAATAGGGTGGAGAAAAAAATAGGTAAATTATAATAAATAAGAGATCAGTCTAGTTAATTGGCCAAATCATGTTTCTTTTCATACAAAGCACTTAAACAAAAAGACTTTGTCATTTTTTCTCTGCAAGTGGGACAAGTGGGAAGAGCATGTGAAGGTAGCATAAATTAAGACAAGTTAAATGGTTGTTGTATTTATTCAAAGCTTTTGAGTAAACTTAACAACCATTACAATATGGGTTTATGTTTAGATACCAGAAAGGGCACAGAATCTTGTGACTGTGTCAGGAAATCTTCAGGAAGACAACAACCTTTCAGCTGATAGGCCTTCTGGCTGGAGTCAGTTTTAGATTTTAAAGCATACGATTCAATAACTACTATAAAACTAATATGTATGTGATGTAGGTATGACAATGAGGAACCCTGGAACTGCCCACAGTTTCTTTTTACATGAATTTCCCAACCGAGTCTTCAGGAAGCCCAACAAGGTTCACGTGTTCTGTCCTAGCTCCTGGCGTCTTGTTTCTCAGTTCACTCCTCTTACTTGCTTGGCTCACACGAGTTAGGAGCTGGGAAAGAGCTTAAATGTGGACCGTTTGGGGTCCCTGTGGACTGGACATTGTAGGTCAGGGCTGTTCCTAGAGATAAAGTATAGCACATCTCTCCCGCAGGATTAATTTTTGAGTTTAATTTTTGAGATTAATTTTTTCTTTTTTGAGTTTTTAATTCTCTATAGCTCTATTTAGTTTAACTAAACAGTGCATATAACGTTGCTTCTGAAAAAAAAGCAAGATGTGGGAAATATAGTAGTTAATTATTTACTAATGTGGTACAATATAAAGGCTCAGGTTAGCTAGCCAAGCAACATCTTGGTATTACAAGGACTTTCTTGATTGTTACATTTTTCAAAATTCCAAGGGTCTGGCAGAGTGATTTGATTTAGAGAGGGCCCCGGCTGTAAGACCATTGGGATTTAGCCTTGGCCACCAATGTTGGCCCATTTTGGATTTAGTCTTGGCCACCAACGCTGGTCGATTTGGGATTTAGTCTTGGTCATCACTGCTGTAGTCCATTTGGGATTTAGCCTTGGCCACCAATGTTGGTCCATTTGGGATTTTGTCTGTCATCACTGCTGTGGTCTGTTTAATGTTTCCACCGCTATGGTACATTAGTTTACACTATTAGTCATTTCAACCTTCCAGACTGAGTCACCACTACTACAGAACCTCATTCACTAATTAGAAATTCGCGCCGCTCCGCCTCTCCTGCGTCCTCATTGGCTGAGCTCTGTCCATACGTCACCACAGCTCATGATTATTCATCGAAGAGGCAGCGGCGAGGAGGAACTGGCTGCTGCTGGTTCTAGCACACGCATACACACTCACATAAATAGCAGACGGAGAGGAGGAAAACACAAAGAGCAGCTCTGCCCAGTTCACAGCTGAAGACGAACGGAGTCAGGTAACGAGCTCTCTCCATAACGTCTGTCTGTCTGTCTGTGTGTGTGTGTGTTTTCTCCTGTGTGTAATAAGCCTGTCCGCGTCGTCGCCCTGTTTTACCTCGTGAAGAGTGAAGAGCAGAGCAAGTAAACACAACAGACTCACAGCTGTCGACACACAGAGCTGGACTACCACTTACTCAACTGAGAAATTGTGGTTTTTCCCGTCAGTTCATGCTGGATTCGACTTGTTTCTTTTGCTAGTACTGTACTGCATCGTGTCTTTGTGAAGCACCGTTATCTTTCACCTGTAATACCTGCTAATAGGTGATCTATCATTTGAGCGACTGCCCTGTTTGCCTGGAGCAAATTATGTTACTTCAATATGCGAGGAAAACACCTGAACGCGTTTCTGAGCCCGCTTAATGTGTAGCACTTCGCTCAGCTGGCGTTTTGGCACTCTTACGTGGCAGTGCTGGTTCTTTTGTCTGGCGAAAAGCCCCAAACTTTTCGTACCTCAGACTCTTTCTCACGTAGCTGTCGACACAGACCACGTTTAATTTCAGTGTAATATCAGAATGACATCGAAAACCAGCAGCGAACAAAAGCGGTTCTTTCTCCCAACAGCCTGTCAGCTCTGAAAAGACTGAAAGAAAATGCTTTTAGCTTCTTCTGAACGTGATCAGATACGATGTCTTCGCAGAAGAGGATTAAAATGAACAGAAAAGCCGCATCAGATAACGAGCTCCAGCTTTTGTTGCTGTTTTTATGAAGTGTACTTTCTGTACTGTAAGATCTACTTGGGTTACACTTGGTACGTGTTTTTATGCTCGGGCAGAGTGCAGTCTCAAGGCTGCCTCAGGCTGACGTCCAACCTCTCTCTCTCTCTCTCTCTCTCTCTCTATCTGTACTGTACACTAATACTGTATGATGTATTTTACAACATATACCATATTGCAGTGTATACACTTCACTCTGTTACTAAATACTCCACACTTTTTGTGTTGAGGGGCCAAAGTGTAATATTTTTGATGGGCTGAGGGCCAAAACAATATACATACACTGTACATCAAATTCTAAACACTCTTAAAAAAGAGAGTGGTTCTAAATAGAAATGGTTCTTTGCATGGTGAAATGGTTCTAGATCGATAGAGAATGTGCGTATGTTTCTGTATAGAAGCTTTTTGAAAATGGTTCTGTTTAGCACCAAAAAGGGTTCTGCTATTCTTACAAGCTTGACATTGTAATTATAACAGAATCAATCAATCTGAAGAATAATTTCACCATGCAAAGAGCCATGTCAGCCAGAATTGGTTCTGAATAGAACTTCCCTTTCTTAAGAACCCTTAAAGAACGACCTCTTTTAAACAAGTACTGCAAAATACTGTATACTAAATATACACTTTTTGTTTTCGGGGCCAAAATGCACTGTTTTTGGTGGGTTGAGGGCCACCAAATAAACACACACACATGTATAAAGAAGGTAGGTCTGAAGTTTGACGTTTTTGAAAATGTATTTTATAACACCTACCATATTACAGCATATTGCGCTATATACACTTCACTTTGTTTCTGAAGTGCTTCCAAATACAACTTTTGAAGAAAACATAAGAGTTTAAATTGTTATGTACACACACTATCCTCTGTACCACAAACTGTCAGTAAAGCCTACTGAATTTAATTTAATTGACAGACAGAGCTCTGTCAGTTCAGCTCAGTTTAAGCTCTGTTTGCACGGCCACACTGACAGAGCAGTGCTTGAAATAACAAGAACTAACATTTAGAGACTTTTAAGAAGTCTAAGTTTCAATCTCAAGCAACGACGGTTCTTGTTTTTAACCTTTTCCTGCAAAAAATAATTTATAAACTGCAATTTTTCTTTTTTCTTTTTTTTAGAATGTCATGAAAAATATCAATTTTGTCACTGTCACTTTTTTTAAAGTTATAGAACTGTTCACATACGTGGACACCATGTTTAAAAGTTAATTAGAAAAAAAGTCTTTTATGTTGCTCACTCTTACTCTTTTCTTACAGTGAGTATCCTTACTCCTTTTCCACACGGCTGGGTAGAGAAGGAGGCCATGTGAGAGAGAGAGAGAGAGAGAGAGAGATAGAGATAGAGAGAGAGAGAGAGAGAGAGAGAGAGAGAGAGAGAGAGAGAATGGTTATGTCTCCTGGCATGAATTCTAGCTCCCTGTGTAGCTTTAAAAGTTCAGAAATAGTTTGTCACTGTGGCTGCCACAGACAATGCTGCGGAGTGATGCTGTCTGGTATGAGAGTGGCTGTGGATTGAAAAAAAAACAATGCATTGTGTTTATTTGATTCAAATGTGTACATCGTTTCCACATAGGCCTGTGCTTGGTGATGGTTAACCAAATTACCATGGTAACAGTCTTCGGTGACGGTAAAAACTTTTTCAAACCATTGTTCATTGATTGATTTAGTTCATGTAAACCATAGCAAGATGCTAGTATTCCCTCTCATGAACTAAACTGAACTTTTAATCATGTTGGGCAATGTGGCACCCTACATTATCATCACATTTATTGTATCTAACATAGATTAGATGTTCTAGAAACACAGCTGAACTTGTTTAACATGTTCAGTGCGAGAGACAGATATCCTGTACAAAAACTACGTTATGATGTATATTTTAGGACATCCTCATGCCACAGCGTCAGATTTCAAATATCAGACAAAATGCATGAGCAAAATGTGTCTCAGCTCTCGTACATCAGGCAGAACCAGGCGTATCAAACATACTCAGGAGAACTGGTTTTGGAAAAGAAAGCACAAAGTTTGTATTACGTTCACAATGTTAATTCTCTTCATCTAAATTACAGTTTTTGTAGTTACAGTTTTGTGCCAATATAGATTTTTGGATATCCTCACAGCACAGCATCAGGTTTGAGACAGGAAAACAGCTTCAATCTTGGGAAAAACATGAGTATAAACATGTCTCAGCTCTCATACATCAAGCAGAATCAGGCGTTTCAAACAGCCTTAGGCAAAATGGCTTTGGAGAAGACGCAGAGGGCTCAGCTAAGCAGCCACAAAGTCTTAGGCAGTAAAGTTTGTGCGACGTTTGCAATTCCAATCTTTCTTATAAGATTAAGTACAGTTTTGTGACCAAATTAAAGATGACGTCATATGAAAACCACAACTGTTACTGAACTACACCAATATGCTCAACACACACTCTCTCTATATTCGCTCCCGCGTCAGTGTTAGGGACTCAGAATCTCAAAAATGCCAAATGAAAAGGTAAAACAAAGGGAAAAAATGCCACCCACCCTCCTTCAAACCCGGTTTAACCATTTACCTTGGTTAATTTCCACACATGTACTAGATTAAGAAGGAGACCTATTTTCACATAAATAAAATATATTACATCAACACAATTTTGTCTTACATTTGGCAATAACTGTGTTGATTGAATATATGGTTCATTTGAAAATACACATTTGAATTATGTAAATTATTTTTTCAGTGAGCTCCTCAACTGGCCAGTACAGTCAAGACCTCCTTTGTCCCTCTCTATGTCTGCTCTCCTTTTGTCCCTCTGTATTGCTGTTCTATTGGAAGGACACTATATGGAGGATGTAGGTTGCCGTTTCTAGGTCACTGAGAACCCCCCCCTTTCCCAACACATACGCAAACACACATGCACACGCACTCCTCCCCCATCAGCCACTTCTTAATCTGTGACCACTAAAGAACACGAACATGTGGTGAGGTTATTATCCAGTCATGGAAATAACACGCTGATATCAGCGTTGATCTGGCCCCAATCTGTACAGACGTTTAGGCACCAATAGCATATCATCACGGTCATATCAAAACCCTATAACTATGTTCTTTTTATTTGGTTTTTTTTTGCATTATCTGCCCTTCACATTGTATGAACATTTCATGATAAGTGGACCAATAGAAATCCAAATTAACATACAATGAAGTTTCCATTTCAGAGATGGAATGTTTTGCTACGGATTGAACGATAGACAACAAATGCTGTACTGATCATAGATCAGCAAGGCTCCTCTAAACATGCCTATGTTCTCAAAGTGTCTCATTATTGAAAGGCAATCTCTGCATTCATCTTAGCCCAGTGGAACATCGGTCCATTTGTAAAAATAGAGAAATGGTCCTGGATCATTATTCAGCCTGGCTAAATCTACTCTCAGTTCCTGATTCATTTCCCTTCTCACAGTGCAGTGCCTCAGTGGCTTTGACAGTGATACTTGGTGGCCGCTAGTGACCTCTGTCTGCCCTTAAAAGATCAGTGCTGGCACTACTGTTTTTATGGACAAAACAGTAACACTGCAATTATCTTGCTATATATTGTAATTGCGATACACTTTGCTATACAGCAGTGAATCATATTTGATTCGATTCAAGACGTTGGGCTGCATAATTTTGACCTAAAATACATTTTGTTGGATGACATGAGTAGTTTAAAGGGCCCATATACAACATTTTTACTGTATTTTATTTAGAGATCCACTGATATAAGCATTGTAGGCCAATATCTGATACTTTTCTTGTACCTATATGCCGATGGATATATACTATGTAGAAATGTAGACTAAATCTACCTGGATTAGCTTCACAGAATAATATACCATTATCAAATATCAGTTTAAAGTGTCGGTCAAATCTAAACATCTGTCTGATGCTGATATATTTTTAAGCAAATGCCTGCTGATACTGCTAAGATTCTGATATCACTTAATTATGTTTTCCCCTTAGGTGCACTTATAATGTTTTTATAGTTTAATGTACCAAAAACAGTTAAAAATATCTTTTTCTGAGACAATTTTCCAACCTCTCTTTATCCTTTAAAAAGTTTTTCATTCTGTGCCTTTAAGGCCTTATCCACACGTATCCACACACACACACACACACACACACACATAACTTCTAAGCTGTTTATCCTTCTGGGTTGCGGGGGGAGCTGGAGCCTATCCCAGCAGTCATTGGGTGGAAGGCAGGACACACCCCGGACAGGTTACCAGTCTATCAC